TTTTGCTTAATAAAAAATAAATGACAAATCATTTTATTTATTGATTAAAATAAGTCCTTTGCAAATGCCTTTTTTTATATACTCGTTCTATTTCAAAATGTTAGTCTCATCTAAAATCTTTTAACTATTAAAAAAATTAGGGGGAATCTTCTAAATTTCTCTTTGTATATAAGGAAAAACATATTGATATGAGATTTAGTTTTATTCGTTTTGATGAGTACATTTTTAATATCTAATTTTTATAATATTTGCTAGGGATAGATTAAGGATATTTACGATCAAAGATTTGCATCCATATATGTAAAAAAGATAATTATTGGTTTTTTAAATAATTTAAATTTTAATTGTTCACTATTCGTTATTTTTACCTAGGTAGCAAAATTCTTAAATCTTATTCGTCACTTTTTCTTAGGTGGCGAATGAATTTTTTAATTCTAAAATAAATTATTAATCTAAAATTCCATTGGTCAAAATAATACCATTTCTTATGTGGCGCGTCGAATGCTCCCGAAAAATGCCTACTTTATTTATATATATTAGATTATTATTATTATTATCGTCGTTGTAATAAGAGCTTAAAACAATGAAATTTGGCTTTATATCATTAGCAATATCATTACACATGAGCTGAACTGAACTAAACAGAGCTGAACTGAACTGAATTTCAACGTATGAGAACAGACCCTTAATTTCATTTCAGTTCAGTTAAGCTCCAATCATTTTAGTTCAGTTCAGTTCAGCTCCTAATTTGCCTCTCACAAAAAATATTTAGGTCAGCTAAGCTCAGTTCAGTTCAGCTCTAATCAGTTCAGTTTAATTTAGTATAGTTTTGCTCCAATCAGTTCAGTTCAGCTCAATTCAGTAAATGTGAACAGACCCTTAATCTATATATACCTATATCTATATCTATATTTTTTTAATTTAAAAATACAAACCATCATCCCCATCATGCCGCATCTAAACTTTTATTTTTCACCAAAACTACATGTCACCTCACATTTTCATTAATAAATCCTCTTTCTCATATTTTGTAAAAAAGGTTATAGCCTTTATTCATTCAATTCATGTATAAATGTTATTTGATTCACTTTTCAGTTTCCCCCAACTTAATATATTCTACAATTACATTTAATTTCCATCCCTTCTTCTCAATTATAAACTATTCATTTTCCATTTAAAACAAACTATAAAATTAAATTAAATTTTATATTGTACAGTACACCTATAAACATTACGTGCATTGCCCAGGTAATAAGACTAGTTTAAACTCAAAGAGATCACATGTGATTGACATATGTCATCTCTTTCTTAGTAGGAGGTGGCACCACATAAGCAATGACATGACATAAATATTATTATAAAAATTGCTTGGGTTAATTAAAGATTTGATCCATACACTTTAATTGTCATGAATGCTCATCACAATAAGAAATATTTGCAAAGCCATATAATATATACTAAAAAAAAAAAAGAATACAAGATTACTACAAAATACTCCTTATATTGTATTCTCAATTTTAATTCTCTTCGAATAATCTCATTCTTTCATCTCTTCATACTCCATTCATTTCATCTCTTCATACTCCATTCATTTCACTTTAAATTACATTCATTTCTCTTCAAATATCATTCATTATTTAACATTATATTGTATTCTTTTATCTTTAAATTACATTCATTTCTCTTTAATTTACATTCATTCACTTTTTAGTCATCAATAATTCAATTTAGTTTGTAACCGAAATTACATGTAATCAAACCCCTAAATATTTCCAATTATAGTTTTCAATTAGTTAGCCATATATCCTTATAATATTCCTATAACTCTATACTAAAGTCTTCATCTCCAAAGGCTTGCTATTTTTTCTGTACACAACTTTTTAATCACTTGCTTTTTTTACCCTTTAATATCTAATTGGCTTTGGGAACTTGGCCTTCAATAGTATATACAATCTCTCCTTTTTTTTTATACATACATATATATATCACACTTGCCAACGCATTTAACGATTAATATCTCTAATTATCAACATTAAAAAGTGGATATTAGCAAAATATACATTGAAATGATTCAGATAAGACCCCACATGAATATGTTTTATTGTATCTATAAACCACAAAACAAGTTAAAAGCGTGTTGTGTGAATAGTGTAAAAGTCAAACGGTGTCAACTAAAAAAACGGAAGAAATATATTTTAATTTGGTTTTATATCTCTTTTTGTATGGTGTATTATAAGTTTGAGTAATTTAATTTGAGGTTACCGTCAACAGTTCATCACGTACTAATTATTAAATTGTCAAGGGAAACAAAATTGGTAAGTTGCATAATTTTGTACTTCCTTGCATCACTTTGATTTTTGCACTATTCACATACCATGGTTGACTTGAATTTTTCACCTCTATAAAATAAACGTTATTATATAATATATCATTAGATTCGTCATAATGTCTAGTTTCATAATACGGAGGATAATTTTGTTATAATTTTCATTAATCAACAATTAAAGATATTAATGGTCAAAGTTGCGTCTCGGCAAATAATGTAATGGTCAAACTGATGCAAATAAAAAAAAAAACAGAGGAAGTGTTCTATTATTTAAAAATTATTTTCATAAAAAAACTTGATTGAACACTATTTATTCTTGGTAAAACTGTGTGTTTAGTTTAGTAAAATAAATATATCATCTAAATTATGTTACAAAGTCAATATCTTTACAAGATTCAACTTACTTTTAAATTGAATGTTGCATACACAGTACAAATGTACAATCTTAAATAAAACCTTGCTTAAATAATTTAAGGTTGTTCAATAATTTTTTACAAAAGAACAATCTCAACTCTATCTTTCAAATCCAAAAAAATAAAACTCCTTACTTGAATTAAGAATCTGGGGCAACATCCTGGGCCACAGACTAGTTATTTCCTTCTTTCTTCTTCTTAAAAAAAAATAAATAAAAAATAATAATAATTATTATAATTGCAAAGTAGTTACAATATTTATTAATCCAATTAAATAAGGATTAGTCAAAGTGTGATGGTGATGGCTCTTCTACAAGGCATTCAAATCGTTGGAATAAGCATGGCCATCCGCCGTAATAGAGCTGTACTCTACTATTTTGAACCGATTCGAAAAACGAAACTGAACTGTTAAAAATCTATTTTTTGGAAATCAAAAATCGATCCGCCTCAATTATATTTTCTCTAACTTGAAATTGAACCGAATTGAATTTGTTTGTACCGTTACTAACCTAGCCCGCTATCAAGCCAAGCCGTTACAATTCGAAATTGACAACAATTTGAATCGATTATGTCTACACCTGATAGTAACCCGATCCATTTTAAACCGAAAACCATTTAAACCCGGCAAATATCCGATAAACCAGAATCGGTCCAACCTGTAACCCTTTGTGACCGAACCATTTATAGCCCATAACCTATTGTGACCGAACCGTTTCCAACCCGTAAAGTGTCGATATCGAACTATTTATAAGCAGTAACCCGTTAAGATCGAATTAATTACCACCGGTAACCCGTTATGATTGAGTCATTTACAACTCGTAACCCAATATGTTTATGATATGGTCCGTTTCAACCCACTACTCGATAAACCTAACTTATTTATGACTTAACTTGATTATAACATAACCCGTTCCAACCCATTGTCTAACTAACTCAACTCAATAATGATCCAACTCGATTTTAACCCAATATGTTTTGGATTGAAATCCACTTTAAGTTGGGTAATCCCCTTTCAAATTGACCAAGTTCAATCCAAACCGATTATGACCTAAATTGATAATGACCATACCTGATTCACCCGATCTGTTTTTAACCGAAATCCATTTTCAAATCAATCCAGTTTAACCCAAATTGATTACAACCCGACCCGATTAGGTATTGAATTTTTAACTAAAATCTACTTTAAACTGGCTAAACCCGTTTTCAAACCGACTCGATTCCGCCCAAACTGATTATAACCCGAACCAACTATAACCGGATCCGATTAGGACCCGATCCAAATAGAAACCGCAATAAAAAAAAAAAAAACCGAACTGACCTGATGATTTTCAAAATCGACCCAAATCGACCCGTTAATCGTAATAACTCGAAACTGATAAACCCAACCCAAACCCGAATTGTTTACCCGAATTAACACCAATAGGCAATAGCGAGCTGTAATGTTTCTCCAGCTCCACCCTTAACTAAGTACTCACTTCATTTTTAAATACTCGCTCCATTTCTCCATGGCAAAATTTGAGGAGATATTGGAGAAAGTACTCCCTCCGTCCTTGATTGATAGTCACTTTTGCTAAAAAAAAATTACGGGAATTAAGGAATACATTGAAAAAGTAAATTTACATTGGGTATGCAAAAAAATAGAGAGAGAAAGTAATTAAAGTACATGGAAAAGTAAAATATACATGAGAATTTTAAATTTGCACAAATATATTTGCAAATGTTAAAGAATTTTGGTAAAAAAATATAATATTAATGGTACTTGAAAAAAACAAATGCGACTAACATTTTGAGTCACCCAAAAATGGCAAAAGTGACTATCAATCGGGGACGGAGGGAGTAATAGAACATGGAGTTAGTGGGGTAGGGGGAAGAATAAAAAATTGTAATAAAAACAAAAGTAGTTGAGAGAATTGGAGGAGAGAGAATATGAAATAAAAAAATACTTCGTATATGATTCATGATGGGTACACTAGGTGAGAGAAATAAATTAAATATTATAAAAGATTTCTAAAAAAGTATATGAACCAATTATTTAAAAATGGCTCAAAAAGAAAAGTGAAGTATTTAAAAAAGGAGGAAGTACATATTTAAAGGCAATTGTGTTGTATGTGATACGAAAAAGGATTATTTAGAAACAACTACATTTAATACTCTAACCCGTCATTTTAAAATCTAAAATTTGAAACACTTAATAATTTATGATAACCAATTAACCAGTTTACACGTTATACTTTCCTTTTAAAATTATAAATACCTTTTGTCCAGCATAGTGTCACAGATATGATTCTTAATAATCCACGAGAATCAACCAACTATAGGCTACTTTTATTTTTATTGTTTAAAGAGCCAAAAAGAATGGGTGTGAGGAACAATTTTAAAATCTACTGAAATTGCAAAGGAAGCTCTAATCACTTGAATTATCCCCCACTCTTAAACAATTGAGATACTCTTGTTAGTATAACATAAACAACAATAATAATGTTGTCCCTTGGTATTACCATCGTTGTATTTCTCATTGGCCTAATGGTTTCTTGGAGATCACTTATTCAACTACTTAAACAAAAAATTACCATTATGCCCTCATCAAAATCATTGAATACACCAAAATTACCTCCTAGCCCACCAAAATTACCCATCATAGGACATCTTCACTTAGTAGGGAGCCTCCCTCATCGTAGCTTCCAAAACTTAGCCAAAAAATACGGGCCTATCATGCATTTAAAGCTTGGCTCCATGGACGTCATTGTGATCTCCTCGCCACAAATGGCGGAGCGCCTTCTTAGGAATCACGATGTACTTTGTGCAAAGAGGCCTATGTCCGAGGTTTCTCATGACCTTTCATATAATTGTAAGGGAATTATTTTCACACCATATAGTTCATATTGGAAAAATGCGAGAAAATTATGTGTCATGGAGCTTATGAGTGCTTCAAAAATTAAGTCATTCGCATGGTTGAGGGAGGAGGAATTAGGTAAACTAATGACTTCATTGAAGGCTGCTTCGGCAGCTGATCAAGCCGTAGATATTGGCGCTAGTGTTGGTGGTGTCCTTGAGGAGTTGATATATAGAATGTTGTATGGAGCTCCCAAGAATGATTTGGCGCTTAGAGCTACTGTCCTTGAGGCTTTGAGACTCTCAGGAACCCTAAATATTGCTGACTTTTTGCCTTTCCTTGCATCATTTGATCCTCAGGTTTGTTTCAAGCATTGTCTTTTTTTTTTTGGGTGTTTCATATCTGGTTCATTCTTTACGGTAATCCGAATTCGAGAATTAGTTCTTGGTAGTTAGGTTCATGTCCCCTCCAGCCCTCCTATTGTTGTTGTAGTGGATCGAATACTAAATGCAATCAATGTTTTGCTTGTTAACCAAAAATATATACATGTAGTCTCTAAACTAAGAATTGGTTAAATTTTATACACCTCATATTTTTCAAACTAGAGTTAACTAATTATTAGATCAAAATCATACATCTATCAAAATCATACATCTACAATAAAAATCAAAACTAAAAATGCATACAATATAAGATCAAATAATATAATTCTACATACTATGAGAACATGACAATTGCTTGTTATATTGAAATCTTACACGTTTGGAAACCTCTCTTACCATGTATAACTGTTTAATGGTAGCTTCTTCCTATGTGAGAAGGTTTATCGATTTATGTTAGGTTAGTATAACTTTTTTTTTTTGAGCAACAGGTTAGTATAACTTGATTGAATTAAATTAATTATTGACTAGAAATTGACATATCTCATGACACTGAACAAATCTTACACTTAATATTTAAAAACACAAACCACAAACCACAAAATACTCATATGTATGTCACATTTCACAATAAATCACTCATTTGCAACACATTACAAGAAAACTAACTTAAGTAATAGCCCGTGTATTGAACGGGTCAAGAGGCTAGTTGTTTTCATTAAATTGAATGTCGTTAGAAAATTGAAAAATGTTTCCTCCGTTTTAATAGTAATTCATTAAGGATGAAATTACGCATTCCAACGCATATTTTATATATATGTCAAATATCTATACGGAAAATTTGTAAATTACTACCTTAAAAAGAGGACCTTTATGAATTAATACCGCTAAAAAAACGTTTTTAATTTACTACCCCTAAAATCGATTAATTCTAGTAACTACTACCTTTTTCTCTAATTAGCCTACTTAATCATTTACTGACACATTATCCGTCTAAATTGTAATTAATAGCTTTTAAACCTTAATTAATTAGATAAACCATTGCATCACCACCACACCACTATTGTTGTATTGCACCACCTCCAGCAACTCTCCGACCGTGAATCTCGTTCCCCTTTCGATCCCCCATCGCGAAAACCACCCATCCCGTTCCCCCACCACGAAATCCAATCTAATCCCTACTCATTCCCCCACTTCCATGTTTATATCATGGTGTACTCGGAAAGAACATTAGACATATTTTAAAGAACATGGGCAAAAAAAAGCACATGCTAGTGTTTCAAAAAGAACAAACTTGTGTTTAACAAAAGAACATGTTTGTGTTTGACAAGAACATGACATTACAAATAACATAAAGTCTTTACAAAAAGAACATGATAATACATTAAAGAACATGTTAATTTTCATGGTTACTCGGGTGGTTGAACATGTTTGAAAAAGAACATTATATTTGACAAAAAAGAACATGTTTGTGTTTAACAAAGATAGAGGTGATCATTGGGTGAGCCGAGCTAAGGTTAAAAAATCAGCTCACTTCTGTGGTCAGGCCAAGTTTTGGGAAGAATTTTTTGTGCCCAAACCCGCTCAAAATGGTCCGGCCGTGCGGGCTTTCGGGTCAAGTAAAAAAAAATCAACTAAAATGCATAAAAACGCATTCCCAAACCCGCCCAAAAAATTAAACTTTCGAGCGGGGTCCGACCTAATTTGGGGGCGAAAAATTCAGCCTGAAACCCATCCAAAGTCGGGCTGGGCCAGGCCGGGCTAACTTTAATCACCTCTAGCCAAAGAACATAAAGTCTTTACAAAAAGAACATGCTCTTTTACCCGGTGATGTGATTAGATTTTTTTTTTAATTTTTTAATTTTACTTTATGTACATACATTAAAGAACATATTGTATAATGTAAAGAACATATAGTTCAAACTCAAAGAACATAATAATCACACTTAAAAAACATATTATGTTCGCGTTTTTTTTATAAATATCTATAATGTTCACTTTTCCCCCATGTTCTTTTAAATTACCTAATGTTCTTTCCGGGTGCACCAACCACACATTAATAAAATTATTAGTTTAGAGTTTTATTTTCGATAAAATACCAATATTCCAGATATACAAATTGAATTACAATTTTATGCAAAATTATTAGATTATAATTCTCAAAAATTGAATAAGTTCAAAGCGTAAAACAACCATTTATAATATATACTAATCGGTTAAATTAATATACTTCACAATCTAATAGAATTTTATTACTATGTAGACTTGTCAATTAAGGTCAGGTCATGAGTTATCTCGGATTGGGTCACTTCATGTTACGAGTCAAAAAATGTTCAACCCTTGTCCAAAGTTTTGGGGTTGGGTCAACCCAACGAGTTTTGAACATTTATTTTATTTTATTTTTTTTTGAATAATTTTTTATTTTATTTAATGTATTAAATCAAAATTTTCCACCAACATTATTATTAGTTATTACATGCCTACTAGATAGCAAATTGTCACAAAATATTATCAACTCCTAACTGATTTTGTATCAATGGTATATTTTAAAATTTGACACATTAATATAAAATTTATCTTAAAATCAATAAACATCCCAGACATCATACGGGGAACAAATCTAGTATTATATTAAGTAAATCGGAAGCCACTATGTCAAGTTTTTCTTTGTCGAAATTCCATCCTAAATCAATTATCAATAGTTTAACAAACGAAAGATGTAATAAATTTCTTAATGAGCATTAAATAAATAATTAATGAATTAGAGATAGTAGAGCTTTTATATATAATGCTATTAAATCAAATCATATTTCAATTATTACCAGTATTATAATAAGTAGATGCCCATGTTTTCCATACAAGTTAAATAAATTAAATCAAGCACAGCTTGGGATATTAACTATATTCACTATTATGGAATTATCAGGGGTTGAAAAAGCGCATAAAAAAACTTATGATAATTGTGGATGATGTCTTGGAGAAAATCATAAGCAACCATGAAGATGAAGCAAAAAAGGAGCAACGAACTCACAGAGATTTGGTAGATGTTATGTTGTCATTGATGAACAACAACACCACCAAAACATCATATGGCATTAAGAGGGATGGTATAAAAGCCATTTTAATAGACCTAGTTGTGCCAGCAATTGATAGTGCTACAAACATAGTTAAGTGGGCACTAGCATATCTATTAAAGCATCCAGAGAAAATGAGGAAATTACAAAACGAGATAGAAAGTGTTGTAGGAAAAAATAGTATGGTGCAGGAGAAAGATGTGCCAAAGTTCAAATACTTGGACCTAGTTATTAAAGAAATCTTTCGCCTATATCCAATCATTTTTGCTCCACATGAAGCCATGCAAGAAATTACATTCGATGGGTATTATATTCCCAAAGGCTCACAAATTTTCCTAAATGCATGGGCAATTGGTAGAGATCCAACTATATGGTCAGATAATTATGAAGAATTTCATCCGGAAAGATTTTTGGTTAATGATGTTGATATAATTAGTGGACAAGATTTTCGCCTTGCACCCTTTGGATTTGGTCGAAGGAGGTGTCCTGGCACGCAGCTTGGTCTACTAAATGTTAAGCTAATATTGTCCACATTGGTGCATTCCTTTGATTGGCACATGCCTGATAATACTTCTTTCAACTATTTAGTCATGCAAGAGAAGTTTGGCCTTGTTATGTCCATGGCAAACAACTTGGCACTTATTCCTAAATATCGCCTCAATGTCTGAGTCTGTTTAAAGCTTTGGTACCTTTTTTTTTTTAGAAAAAAAGCTTTGGCACTTCTTATATAGTTGTTAGATATACGTAGTACATATTTATTTTTCGTGCTCAAGAGCCCTATTATAGTGTTAGATGGTATGTGTAATGCTTTGTAGTGTATAAGTACTAGTTTTATATGCATGTGATGCGTGCATTGAAATAATATTGGTTATTTTACACAACTTTTGTGTTGATTTTTTTTTTCAAATCATAGCATTTCTTTATCCCCAAATTTTAATTTATTTTGGGTTTATTTATATTTTTGTATTTGTATTTTTAGAAAATTTTATCTAAATTGTACTATTCTATTCTTTTTTTTTAATTTTTTTTTTATTATTTCCTTTTCAAAATTGCAAGGTTTTTATTCATCTATTATGACTTACCAGATAAAAAAAAAATAAAAAAAAAAAAGAATAAGTAGAAGAATTCATGTGTTTAAATATAGAAGTGAAGATAAATTAAACTGCAAGTCGATATGATTTTTAAATGTACAAAGCACTAATTTTTCATTGGTGGCATGAATTGTAATTGTATGATATATATTTGATGCATAATTGAAACTCAAATTTTAGCTAGGTAGTAAGATTGCAAGAACAGTTCTAGTTCTCTTGGTATAATATTGTAGGTTTTTTTTTTGTTGTAAAATTTTCGTATTTGTAGTTAAACGTGACTTTAGATTGATTTACAATTATCATTTGCATTGACTTGTAAATTACATTAGGAACGTTTTCACTACATCCGTTAACTTTTAGTTACAACTTTGGAAGATTTTATATCTCACAAATAATACCCCAAACTTGCAACAAAAAGTTAATGGAAGTCGTATATGTTTTTTTATTTGATATGTTATACATCTTAGGTTTGTAGGGCTTATTTAGAAATTGTAGTGATAATTATTGAAGCAAAAAGCTAGGGTAGAATCCTCTTTATATATGGATACAATGACGTTATGTTTTGGGTTATATAATAGAGATGGGTCGTGCAATGTAACAATAATTACGTATAATAAAGTGAGATTCCATTAGCGAAGTTTCCTCTATCTCATATTGTAGGACAATAGTATGTGCTAGTTATAATAATATGTGTGTGTGTATATACGTTCAAAATTTTCTGAATCTTGCTAATTTAGGTGTCTAAGTGTTTCTGAATATTGTTCTAAAACTTGTCAACTTTTCACATCTATGTCATATTTAGCTATAAATTCTCAAACATACTCATATATGATGTAAACCAAGTGTTTGTTCTTATATTTGCACGCTAGCTAAAAAAAGGAAAGGTTAAAGCCAATTTCGCCTAAAAACCCATTTTAATATTTTAACTTGTACTTAAGCTTGTCATATTTGCTCATTTATGTGAAATAAAGCCTCCTAATCCCAAAAGTAATCATAGTTTATGTCACGCAAGGTGGTACTCCATTTAGTTCACTAAAGAACACATAAATGGGAAAGAGAGAAGTCATTTTAGGCCATGGTGCTTTTTTGTTCTAGATTGTCCTAAATGTTGTCAATCAAGAACTTTTAAGTCATGCAAGGCCTTCAAAACACAAAACTTATGTTGTTTGACATGATAAAAGTGTCCATGTATCCATGTCACTATTTGATTCAAAAATAGGAAAGGAACAAGACATTTTTGGCTATCTCTTCTTCTAAAACTTATCTACTTATCATATCTATGTCATATTTAGCTATAAATTCGCAAATATACTCTTATATGATGTAAACCAAGTGTTTTTTTTCTTCATTTATATGCTAGATATAAAAAAAAGAGAAAGGTTAAAGCCAATTTCGCCCAAAAACCCATTTATTGTTCTTACTTGTACTTAAACTTGTCCTATTTGCTGATTTATGTGAAATAAAGTCTCCTAATCACAAAAGTAATCATAGTTAATGTCACGTAAGGTGTTACTCCATTCATTTCAGTAAAGAATACATAAATGGGAAAGAGAGAAGCCATTTTAGGCCATTTTTTAGGTGCTTTTTTTTTTTTGTTCTAGAATGTCCTAAATATTGTCAATTAAGGACTTTCAAGTTAACTAGGCCTCCAAAACACAAAACTTATGTTGTTTAACATGATAATGGTGCTCGTTCCTCCATTTCACTAGTTGCTACAAAAATGGGAAAAGGAACATAACATTTTAGGCCTTTATGACTATCTCTTGTTTTAAAACTTATCTACTTATCACACCTTTGCTATATTCAGCTATAAATTCACAAATGTACTCGAACATGATGTAAACCAACTATTTGTTCCTTCATTTGTATGCTAGATTTTTTTTTTAAATGGAAAGGTTGAAGCCAATTTTGCCCAAATACCCTATTTATTATTCTAACCGATACTTAAACTTGTCATATTTGCTCATTTATGTGAAATAAAGGTCTTAATTTATCTTCCTACAATTGTCAATGACATACAAGTTTGTGAAACAAACAAGCATATGGCACAAATTATTTGACAGTTTTTGAATTTTTTTAATTTGAATACACTACTAAAATTAGGCTAAAATGCGACCGTCTCTAACGGTCGTTGAAAATAGAAAAAAACGATCGCTAAAAGTAATTGCGGCCGTTAATAGTCGTAACGTGGCGGTCGTTATTCATGAAACGGGGCTTTTATGTTACTTTTTTGCAAAATCCGAGCTCAATTTGGACCTTTAGACCTAAAATGACCCCTAAAACCTTTAATGGGTAATTTTTTAGCACGAAAATCGAGAAAAAAAATAAATAGGTGTAAAGTGGGCCCCACTAACGGCAACATGTAACGGAGGGATACCAGCAGGGGTACAACTTAATCACTTTTTGTACTTTGAGGTTATAGCGTGGAACTTTTCAAAGGGAGGGGTACAACGTGAAATATTCAATACCTCAGGGGTATAATGTAGAATTTCCCTATATTATATGACTGCGCATTATTTTTTACTTTCTTGAAAAGTGGGAAAGGATAATGATTTAACCTAGTGCCACACATGTCCATTTTTAGAGTGAGTTGGTGTGTTTAAGATTTTAAGTGAAAAAGCTACTCAAATTAAAGACTCCCAAAGTCCCAATGTGTAAGATTATTTTTTAAGTCATTCATTGATTAATGTTGCTCAAAAGTATTTTTGGATGTAGCCATAATCAATGTTATGTTAAAACTAAAAAGTCTCAAGAGGTAATATGAATTTGTGTGATACTACGGGCCTGTTTTCATTGACTGAACTGAATTGCACTGAACTGAACTGAATTGAACTGAACTGAACTGGGTTGAACTGAACTGAATTGAACTAAATATTTTGTAAGAGAAGGAAATTAGGAACTGAACTGAGTGGAGCTGAACTGAACTCAACTGAACTGAATTTCAACGTATGAGAACAAGCCCTAAAACTCTAAAAGATACATTGAAATACAATCATAGTCATCAAGGCTGTAGAAACTAACAATCTTTAGATGCAACCCTAATTTTATGTGTCACTGAAAGTCATTTTTAGAGGCAATAAGCTAAAATCTAGTTAAAGAATTTCCTAAATAAAAAAAAATTAAAAAAAAGATCTAGTTAAGATGTAATTTTAAAGGCAATCATAAATTATGTGATGCAAAAATTTTATTTAGAGGCAACCATAATCCATGTGATGCTAAAATGGTAATTTTTAAGACAACCATGAACAATGTGATGGTGAAAAATAGCTTTGGAGACAACCATAACCTATGTTGATGTTGAAAAGGTAACTTTAGAGCTAGGCAAACACAATAGATTTGAATATGTGATGCTAAGTACCTTATCCAAATAAAGTTCACAAATGACATTTTCCAAGTGGGAAGTTTCGACTTTCCTACTCCCTCCGTTTTTAAATACTTGTTTCATTTTTCATTTTCGGTCGTTTTTTAAATATTTGCTTCATATCCTTATTTGGAAAACTTTTATAATATTTAATTCATTTTTTTCAAATAATGAACCCAACATAAATCATATTTTATTAATTTTATATTCTTTGTCCTACAATTCTCTCAACTACTTTTGCTTTTTACAATTCTTTTTTATTCTTTCACCTACCTCACTACCTCCATATTTTAATCTTTCTCCAATTTCTCCTAAATTCCGCATATGGAGAAATGTAGCAAGTATTTAAAAATAAAAAGAGTATTATTTTATTTTCATACTTTAATTTGTAGACTTTTCAACACCCTAATTTAGAAGCTCTCGTAAAAAAAAAAAAAAAAAAAAAAAAAAAAAAAAAAAAAGGTGTAGAAGTTATACCCGGTTGTATCACTTGTATGTAGCTCTACGTGTATGGTGTATTGGGTAAAGCAACGTTGCTTTGAAGTACATTACATCGATATACATTGGAGCTTGCTGAGATCTTGCAATATTAATAATTGAAACTGTTAAATTTTAGGGAAATTTTTTCCTTTTTTCATTGAACTTTTCTCATATAGACAATAGGAATATCTAATCCTAATATTCTTAACTATCTTAACAACCTAGATATCACTCATACGCACACTAGGAAACGTCTTAGGAGGTCGTCCATTCTAAGACTACTGCCAGCCAAGCTTGCGTATTTGAGAAATATTTTAGTATATGAGCTACCTAAAAGAAGTTTATGGTAAAAAAAAAAATGCCCTTCAATTTTTTTTATTCACCTTTAATTTTTTCTTACCATTTAAATTTTAAACAACCAAAAAAAAAAATCTTATTTAATAAGGAAAATTAATCTAATCTTACCGCACAATTGCTCTCAAAGTAAGTAAAAAGGAGTTGGTATTACTGAATTTCGGAAAGTAACCCATCATGTTCCATAGTAATTAAAAAAAAAAACATTTGTTAAATATGATTTCCCAAAATGTCATTTTCTCTCGCTATTCAAATTATTTTCTCTATTTCTAAAAAAATTCAGCAGCCAAGAACCCTAGTATAATTTTAAATTCGTTCAATCCAACCTTGAATCTTGAGTATATGGCTGATTCAAATGAAAGGTAATTAAAAAATTTTTACAACCACGGCTTTTTTAATCCATAATTTTATAATTAAAGCGTCTAATTTTGTTTTTTTTTTTTTTCCAATTTCGTTTTTTTTTTAATCAAAATAACGAACCAACTATGGTTCGTGAAGAACAAATTCAAGAAGACAATATTGTGGTTCGAGAAGAAAACAAGAAGATATTACGATCGTTTGATTTATATAATAGGTTCTTTCTCAATCATCAACGTGTTTATTTTTC